TAATCCTAATAAAATTAGGAAAACTAATAATAACAACATTCGAATAAAACTAATAACTTGCATAAGAATCTTAAATAATATCTAAATAACTACTCCATTCATTATAAAATAATTGTTTTTTTTTTCTATTATGGATTTGTTCCAAACTAAATGCTCATTTTTTTAGATAGACAAATATTTTTCTTTATTTTAACCCTATTATTATCCATTTACTTTAATTATTTATTCTATCACAAAAAATCTATCATATTTCTTTTTAAAGTTAATATAGATAAATATATAAATTATCTTCAAATCCTTAATTTGAAAAAAGAAAATTTTAAAATATATTTTGGTGAAGAGGAAGTATTCAATCATTTCTTCTTGTTGATCATCACCTTGTGTCTTTAATTGTGAATATTGTTAGTTGTATGTACATTAATACTAGCTTATGCCACTATGACAAATACCAGACTATGACTATGCTAAATACTAGTTTATGACAAATATCAGTTTGGACAATAATTGATACATTTTTTTTATTTAATTTACCTTATAACATAATCATTAAAAAATTATTATTTTTAAATTTAAATTAAAAGCCAAAAAAAAATAAAAATTATAAATTTTAATAATTGAATCGACAAGTATTATGAAATGTGTTAAAAAAAAAAAGGTGTAGCAATTATTTTCTTACTAGTTTACACCAAACAAGGTCACTTTTTAGCATCTTCTATATATTAAAGTTTTTATTTTAATTTGAAAAGAAATAGACTTCATTGTAGTTTCTCCTCAACGTAGTTTTATATATATAGCAGCACATTTTTCACATTTATTTCTTATTCTAACTCACTCATCGACATTCTGCATTAAACATCACTGCAGCTCTAACCCTGTTACAGTCTCAGGGTATCGAGCTAAGATTTTTCAGTAAGCCTACGAGCAAATAGTCCTTCGAAATATTCTTCAGCCCCCAATCTCTTGAAAAACGCTGGTTTTTGCTGAGAGATCAAGCTTCTTGCTGGGCCTATTTCCCCTTCATACTTCGGGTTATAGAATGTGGCAATGGAGAGCCTTTCTCTTTCTGAGTTAATTGTCGCGCGGTGAGTGATGCTACGATATACTCCATTTGTTATAACCTACCAAAAGAAGTTCAATCCACGTGTCATCAAAACCATGATTTTCATTTCTCCAAAAGGAAGCAAGTACAATTATGATAGTAATTACCTCCAAAACGTCTCCAATGTTGATGATGAAGGCATTTGGGAGGGGCTTAATTGGAACCCATTTGCCATCTTTTTTTATCTGGAGGCCCTCTACTTCATTTATCCGAAGCAGGATGGTAAGGCCTACAGCATCAGAATGAGGAGTGAGCCCAATAACCTTTTCTGGTTCAGGACCTGGAGGGTAACAGTTCATCCTCATTGACTGAAAACCCTCTTCAAACTATTCCTCCATTTCTCCGCTTTCCATTTCAAGTGCCTTTTCCACGTTGTTAAAATGGTAATGGCTAGATTTTTCAGCTCCAATGCGTAAATTTCCAATGTATCTCTACACAAGGAAAAGAAAAAGGAGATTTAAGTTAAAAACCAAATCACACTCAATGAAAGATGGAAGAGAAAAAGATGGAAGACCTGAAAGAAAGAGGCAGCTTAGGGAACAGATGGGGTTTTCTGAAATGGTGTGGGAGGGTGATCATGAAATAGAGATCACCCCAATCGAGTTTTTGCTCCTCAGAGAGAACAAAAGCCTGTCCAAATCCTTCTTGTTCTCCTGGGTACTGCCAATATTTTTTCTTCTCTTCCATTGGGAGATTGAAGAAATCCTGAATCTCTTTCTTTGCCTTCTCCAACAAAGAAGCGCTCACTCCATGGTTTACAAGCTGCATTAGTTAAATAGGACACAATTAATTCTTCCTAATATACAT